CCGGTAAGCCAGGTGAGCCAGCTGAAGCAGGCAGGCGAGGACAAGCAGCATGTTCCAGATGAAGATATCCAGCCCGCAGGCGCTCAGCCAGCCCCACAGAGCATAGCAGAAGTAGCCTGGGGCCAAGAGGCCAAAGACATAGAGAGACCCAAAGATGCCACTTCCCCCCATGTAACCCAGGAGGACAATGCAGCTGGCCAGATGGTAGGCTGCTCCCTCCATAATCTCGTTCCAGGCATCGCACGCCGGAGGCTGGAGAACAGCCTGGTCCCAAGAGAGGCTGCTTGCACTCATCCTTCCCCACTCCCCACCCTACCCAGCCGTCCTGCGCTCAGAACGAATTGTCATACACAAAGGGTGCTGCAGAGGTCTGAAACCAGAGCTGCTGGGTAGCTGTTCCTCTTCTTCTTCTTCTTCAGTGCCAGCCGGTCCCACAGCAGCGCGTCTCAGGGCAACATGTTATAGACCCCCCAATGCTTCTTGTGTAAACAAAAAAATCCCCAAAAGGCTGCTTTTTCCTCTTCTGTCTCACAAGTCCACAGCTGGACCCCTCCTTAGCCAAACCAGAGAGAAAAGGAGCTGGCAAATACGAGGCCAAAAGAGCTCGGACAAAGAAAGAGTAGAGGCCATTAGCTGGAAAACTTGCAGGCGGGACAGAGCTCTCGTTGCACTGCCTCTCTCTTGCCAGCCTTCTGGCACTGGAAATAGCGACTGTGAGAGAGCAGCGGAGGGAGCTGGTGTTGAGTGTGGAATGTGTATCACTTGGCAGCGGAAAGGAGAGAGACCCCAAATGGATAACCATGTTTGGAATTGAAATCCAAGGAGCAAAAGCAGCGAGGAGAACAGAGAGCAGGCATGCACTCGCTACTTAACATAACTCAGGCGCCCAGATAAGCCCAGCGCACTGCTGGGAAGAGAAAGGAGAGGGGAAAACAACCAGCTTATCACAGTGAGCTCCAGCCACACATGGGGCTCTGCACCCCTCTGAACTCCTGCAAGAGAGTGACTTTCAACCGCCACAAAAAAGGAGAAAGGTCACTCCCTCCTCCTGCTGTGGATCGTAGCGGCGGCAGGGACTTAGCAAAAGAAGACGGGTTGGTTCTCAGGAAAGGCTTTCCAGGCGCTGCAGCACAGCCTCCCCTTGTGCCAGGCTGCTCTGCCCCAGGGGGTAAAGCTCTGCACGGGCAGGCAGCTGGGACTGCAAGGGACAAAGCTGGACTTGGGACACAGCTTTACCCATCACAGAGGAGACAGTTATCCTGCATAAAAGTTTGAGAGTGTAACACCCAGAAGTGTGACCCTCCACAGATAAACAAGCTCTGTTGGGAAAAGAGCTGGGGAAACATCATTCTATGTTTTCATTTTTTTATAGCTATTTGGAACCCTCCAGACCTTCATTTAGCACAAACACTTTCCACTCAGACAACCTGGGACAGAGGCATGAGAAAGACCTGCCAGGTTCAGTCCTCTGTGTTCAGCTGCAGAAAAGGCACATAAATGCAATTTCTCCTCTGCCTCGAGTAACACATAATCAGTCACACAGGCAGGATCTGCCCTGCCGCCAGGACACAGTCACATTTCGGTCATTGACGCAACCCACATGGTCAGTCAACAGTATGAAGTCAGCCTGCATGGGTCAGTGGAGTAGAGATAGGGTTTCCAGGGTGGTCGTGTTTCAGGCCGAGCTTGCAGCTGCCCTGCCTAATGTGCCGTCCCCACTGGCACCACTCGCTTAAAGACGCACTAATCGGCTCTTCCACTAACAGTACTCGGGAGCAGCACTGTCTGCTGGGCGAGGCTCAAGCAAAGCTTTATGGCAACATTAAAGGATTCATCATGGCCTTGGGCACCACAACCTACCTCTACAACGATAGCTCGTGCAACACAGAGCGGTGTGACACCAAAGAGGAGCAAAGGCTGTGCCATCTTGTCAGGTGGGAAGGAAACAAGGCAAATTAAGCTTTGCACAGGGGTGAGTGCCATCCACTCAAAAATGTTTTCTGTGAAGGCTGAAGTTAAACAGGGAACATTGTCTCCAGTGGTCCCTTATTTAAGTGGAGAGGTAAATCCTGTGAACTGAAGTAGAACAAGGTTCAGCTGCAAGAGGTATGGGGAAGTTAAATTTATTTCTCTTCACCTTAGCTGCAAAGAGGTAAGGATGATCCCATAGCTAAAGCACTACAGCAAAAGTCTTGGGAGCCAAGTTCTGTTTTTTATACTGTTGTCATATACTTGCTAGATGATCCAAACAACACCGTGTCTGTCTTTAGGCCTCTGAAAAAAAACAGTATTTATAAGGGGCCCTCTCTCCAAGATAGGCTGATGTGTGATGGAATGGGGAATTGGGATATTGAGATTGGGGACACTTACGGGAAAGATACTTTACATAAGATTTGGGAGACAAAACTGAACTGCTATTAATAACAATGTTGAACTACAGTAGAGGAAGCATTCTGAGAAGTAGCATTGTAATTTTTCCTGCCTTTCCAAACTACTAAAAAACTTTTGCAGCAATCGAAGAAAGTGACCAAGAAAAAAAAAAAAGTTATTCATTTCACTCCTCAGTTAGGTTAATTCCTGAGCTATAAAATACTCTAGAAAACAATTATAATGACTTGATAGGACAAAGAAGGTGCTTCCTCTAGCATCTTCCAGCAGATGGACAGTGGCAGTACTGCTGGTGCCAGCACCACAGGTGAGAACAGCCCATTGTGACTTCCCTGTGGAAGACAGACAGAAAGCTTTAAACCCACTGCAGTTACAGCACAAAGCTCTCATTTTAGAAAACATACAACTTTTCTGCTGGGGCTGAATGTGACATGGTAGAGAGATCAACATAATCTTTTAGAAGGCAGATCTCTGAGCACATGCTAGAGATTAATCTAGCTGTTTTCAGGCCCAGTTTTTTAAAAGGAAGATTTGTACAGTGGTTGAACCACCAAGGCTCACATCTTCCTTTCTCCCTTGAGTACCATGGCCATACAGACCACTTTTACAGCACATTCACAGTTTGTCACCCAGCAAGAGTTCAAAAAGCTTTCTTAAATTTTCAAAGAGAAGTATTATTTTCAGGCCTTGCCTTGAATCAGAATGCAGGCCTTCCATCCAGTGATGCTGGGTTTCATCCAAGATGAGCGTACAGAAGCCAGTAATGACTGAAGGGGAAAGCCACCCAAGTATTAAAAGGGAGTTATCAAGGCCCAAACCAATTTGGAATCAAGAGAGCAAGTGCATAGGGAACACCTGAGTAGCACCAAAACTCTTTAACTGGAAGAAGGCATGCAGAATATACAACCAAATTAGTCTGTGAAGAGAAGAACAGACACATCAAGCTTTTCAGCACTGAACTTGGTAGCATGTAAACAGATATCCTACTGATTTCCCCACATATAAATAATTCAACCAGTAACAACTGATATTCAGCCCCATGCAATGATGCAATTCAGATCCAGCCTGCACTGTTTGGCAAATAAATCCTCTGTCCTGGAGAGCAGCCTCATACTGAGAGATTATTAGTCCTGGATGTCACAGCAGCTAAGTGACTGGCGACATGGCCCAAGCCTACAGGTTCACTGCTGATTCCATAAGCTAAAAACCAGTCTCACCACCTGTGCTGAGGTCACTAAGACCTTGATGGCTTCAAGCAAGAGGAGGCATAATCAGGCATCTCTTTTTTGATTTATTACATAACGCATCACTGCCATTAGTCTGCAAAACTGTTACTTAACATACTAATAGACCCTTTTAACTCACACTTGACTTACAGCTGCCAGGACAGGCGTTTTGTTTAGACTTACGTGGGGAAGAAAAGAACAGTTTCCCACATCAGGCACTAAAATCACTTTTCTTTCAGGCTAGTGACACATACATACATCTGCAGTCCTCCGCTCCTCCTCCCCTTCAGAACTACTGGCTCAATAATTTGAGTTCAATATAGAAAGCATTTAATTCTTCACTATCAAGAATGAAGTTTGAATCCTAGGGTGAAGCTGCTAGAATTCTTGCAACTTTTTTTGAACAGGGGAAAGCAAATCCAGTTTTGACTCCAAGGAAAAGTTCATAAGGCTGTAGTCATCTTTGTACAAATATAGTTAAACCTGTGACCACAAACACCACTACAAGCTTCAGCATGACTTTGCTAAACACAGTAACAGGGCAGTGTTATTAGCATGATTTCTCAGTCTGCATCAGAGGGAAAACCCACCAAAGGCCCATCTGTTCAACTGCAGCACCAGGTCAATCACTGTTCTCATTTCAATGAGTAAGCAGGCTTTTCTCATTCTCTCCATTCCACAGTGTTTTGAATGAGGTGGGCACTGTCATTTCTTAAAAGAATGAGAAGTCTGGAACACTGGTCATTTTCAGATTTTTATTAAGAGGAAAAAATACATTTTTCTATAGTAGTGGTGAAGAGCTAACAGTGGAAATGCCATAGATGTGATGCACAGTCTATCATTAGAGACTCTTATAAATAGATCCTTTGTTTATATTTTTTCTTTGAAGTAATTTGCAGAAATAATTTATTTTGCAGCTTTCCAGCACGCAGTCACACCACAGACACCATCTACAAGAGAGAGAAAAAAATAGCTTCACAAAACATGGATTTCCACTGGATATTGAGAGACAGTTCAACAATCAACAAAAAAACCCCCAGCAACATCCCACAAAAACCAACCCCCACACTGCCCTACCATCAGAAATCTTGAGTTGAATTTCAGGTCTATTGAAAGACAGCAGAGGCAGCAGCATATTCTACTGCTGAAGAGGTACTGACAGAGGCTGTTTACTGCCAGGAGGCTTCACCACCCACACGAGGCCAGCAGCACTTCATTCTAGTGCCAGGGAGGGTTACTTTGCCGTCCCTCTCACAAGTAAGATGCCTTTGCCATCATGAACGGTACTCTGGGCCTTCTAGTGGCACCAGCTGAGATGCACTGGCTCTTCAGAGGCAGAGGTCCTGAAGGCTATACTCACCACATTCACAGTCCTGCTCATCTCACTCATATCTTGAAGCCCAGAGCTCTCAAACACTCCTTGTGAGCTTCAATTAGGTGCCCACAATTTTCTTCCCCCTTCTCAAAGACACTGCAAAACAAAAATACTTTCAAGGCTCAGCAACAAAACATGAGCTTACTATTAGCCAAAGCCACAGGGCTGACACGCTGTTGGGGACAATAAAAAATGCTATCAGGCTGCAGAGATCTTTTTGCCCACCCTGTTCAGGGTAGGGCTGTTTTGGAAAACATTATCTCAAAAAGGCACCCAGGCCTGGAGCAGTGAACTTAAAACTCTGAAGAAATGGGTAACTGAATTTTCTATTAACAGGCCAGTGTCTATTCTGGGCAAGTCTAGACTGGGATTTGTTACACAACACAAGGCTGTTGCACCACTTTACCGAGTATGCCGATTTTGTTAGCAACCAGTTTCAAACCATTCAGTATGGAAGCAACCAAATTAATCCAGTGAGAGACTGATACAGAACAGGTTGAACAGTAAATAACATTTTAGTCCAGCTTTAATTGGCATTAAGGGTAGTCTGAAGGAAAAAAAAAACCCTGTCCAGCTTCTCTTAAATAAAAATGATTTGCCACATAGGGTAACTTTTGATGTTACTCATCCATCCAAGTCTCTAATACATATTCAAATAGTGGCAAGAGCCTACCATCATTAGTATACCATGGATACCACAAAAACAAGTTCAGACTTGCTCTTTGATTGACCTGCAGAGCAACTTCCTGTCCCCAGGGGTGGGGATATCACCATGCTGCACAGTGCAGGTCTCAGGTCTCATCAACCCTCATTTGCCATGTTATGCTATTCGTGCTGCCACAGGAGAAAACCACCAACTATGAATAACTAAAACATTTTATTTTCAAAATCATTTAAGTCTTATTATGAGATATATGGTGTGCTGGCTACTCACAGCAGCTTCATCTGACCCAGCACTTGCATCCCACTGCCCTTTTTCTTAGAGGGTCCTGGCCTCAGCTTCCCTCTAGCATGTAACTAGAACTCACACCTCTAACTTCAGCAAAAGCATTGTGCCCAGTATTATGTCACCTACTGAATATCGTCTGTACCACCCGTCAGGTAAAAAAACCCAGCAGTTTGATCACCAGACTAAAGTAATTTACTGTTACAGACAAACTTGCTGTATTTTGTTGGTGCCTTTCATGCTATTTCATAGCTCCTACATACCTAAGCCCGTAACTAAGCATGCAGTTATATATATATATCATTGCCAAATTTTGCACCTCTGTGACAAACATCACCCTCCAAGACCTAAAAAACAAAGTTTGCTTTTGTTTTGTTTTGTTTTTTTAAATTTATTTTAAAAAAGAGAACAGTGGTTCTAACAACCACAGCATTACAACGGCGTTCCCGGCACTGGCACAGGCTGCCCAAGGGAACCACCAACACGGGATACGCTGGAGGTGCCAGCCGTGGTGCAGAAGGACACAGTCTGGCGCTGTGGCCAGGCCGACGGTTGAACTTGATGACCTTAAACTACAACA